CGGTGTGTGTGTGTTATTAACCACCCGGCCGAACTGGCAGGGTAACACTCCCCCCTCCAAAAGCCAGCTCGCCTTTGGGGCAGCCCCCGGGAGCGGACAAGACCACCGAGGGCTGCCCGGGGAGAAGCGATGGGGCTGGGGAAGCAGCAGCTCCCCGCTCTGCTTAATACTACACATTTTCATATTTGTTAGACGCTGTGACCTGCGTTTCACCTTATTGCACGACTTGCTCAGACAGGTCAAAGCCAAAGAGTTATTGATGAACAAAAGCGTTATATATTCACCTCCTGTTCAACTGCCCATACAAAATGCTTTTGATCTATCGGGCTTTTTGTATTCTGGTTCATAATCAGTATGCTAAATGTACGTTGGCAGAAAACAAGTAATCCATACATTTAGGGCCGGCCCTGGAATAAAATGCCAAGGGCATGTACACAGCGCAGGGCTGAGCTGCTGGGGGAGGAAAGTTACCTATGGAACACAATTGGAACTGCAACGCTGGAGGCCATCCTTTATTCCGCATTTAAAGGGCTCGAAAACCAATATCGCAAAGTAAGGCAAAAAAGAGAAGGAGAAGCCTGGCACAAGCAGTTAAAGAGATTGTTTATCAGCAAGCAAAGAGAGGAAACAGGGAGAAAGGCAAACAAACACAGCTCCGCTCCTCTGCGTGCTCCCGGCTCAGAGAGGGGCTGGCAGAAGCAGGGAGGGCAACGGGTACCTAATGAATCTCCAAACACCGCAGCCTTTCTTGTCCTCTCTGAGAGACAAACCGGTCTCAATCTGAAGCACCAGGACCAATGCATTTAGCTCCTTACTGCAGCCAGAAAGGTTCAACAGCATTTCCTGCTACACATTCATCTGCTGCCCTCCCCCTCGGTACTCCCGGCGCAGCTCCTGGGGGACCATGAAACCACCTCCAGTAAAAGGTTGCCATCCCAAACTCAGGCACCCACTCCCCTCCGTGCCTTCACAGCATTTTAAATCCACGTTTGAACCTCCCTTGCCCGGAGACACCTAGTATCAGAGGAGCGGAGCGACCGCCCCGCACGATCCGGCTGCAGCGTGGGCTGACCCGCCTGGCCCGGGCTGAGAGCCCCCCGCACCGCCGCCTCCCTCACTCCCGCACCGGGCCGTGCCCAACGAGGCTAACGTTAGACAGCAGGCACCCTTCGGCCCGGAATCCCGTCTGGAGAAAAGAGGGGGAGTAGCCAAGGTTGTGAGGCGCTGGGACACAACGTGACCCGCCCGGGATCTGCACGGGGAGGCGCTCTACAATCCCACCGAGGTAAAATGGGAACGCTGCTAATTGCTTCAGAGAGCTTAGGAGCAGGAGGACACCTGTACAGCCCCATCACAAACCCTCGGGAAACTGCACCTCTACTTTTAGCGCTAGCCAGCGTTATGACATGGTACCACAAACTGACTCCACAAGACCTTCACATGCTGACATAGACTTTTTCCTTTTTTTTTTCTTTTTTTTTTTTTCTTTTGGTAGCAATATTCATCAGTTCTAATTCTTCCAGTCTGAAGGGAAGAAACCGGATTTTCACGCAAAGCAAACTCAACAAGGAATAAGAGGTTACTTACCGTGGATGCTCTTCCATGCTGCCGAACCTGTTGCAACAAAAACGTTTGTTACTGTTGTATTCCACATACGGGTGATATTTCTGGAGAACAGTTACAGACCACATTTGATAGATGAAGGCAGAGAGGAGCTGGTGGTAAATCCTGCGAGCAGAGGAGTGGTGGGGAGGAAGCCCTTTCCGAGTGAGGACCACGTTGCATTCAGGCAGTTTTTTATGAACACATGCTTTCTCTGTGTCTGGGGTGTGATTTTTCACTTTTAATATCCATAGTCTAGATTTTATACCGGATAATTTCTAAAGGGACGAAAAGTCAGACCTCCCTCTTTCACTGATGGAATAAAAGAATAACAAAGGCCTTTTTTTGTTTTGTTTTGTGGTAATCCAGTCACTTACAAATGAAATATTCAGATCATCTTTGCTAAACCATCACCCATAAAATGCCACAATATGCCATGCAGCATCGTGTCCATGCTAAGCACAGAAAGAACTACAATTTTATAAGAATAAATCTCGGATTACCCTAGGATAGGTCGCCTTTAAGATCACCTAACTAACCAAACACTAACCACGAGACATGCGTCTTTGTTTGCATTATAGAAGGACGGATTTGACTTGAACTTTCCTTCAAATCTTTTGATAAATACATTCAAAGACCACATTAGTCTCAGTCTAATGCTCCTGAAACCCACCCTATATTTTAGAGTAAATTACTAATATTGGGGGTTTCTTTTCTGTAAGCGATTTTTCACCCCTTCTATTGCCTTCCTGAGATATCTTGGTGAGTTATTGTATTACACACAGAGCAATTGCCTCGCTATCAATAGTTCACTAGGCAGAGCTTCCCAAACCTATTTTTGTTAAAAAAAAATTTATTTTTTTTTAATTCTGCCCGCTCTTGATAGCATTCAGAGCTTGCGAGGACAGTGGAATGATATCAGCATTTCGGCACTAAAGATTGCCTTGCCGTTCCTTTCCTTTCTTTTCTTTAATTTTTTTTTTTAATTAAAAAAAATAATAATAAAGGCTAGCTTCAAATAAAATGTGCCATTAAATTTAGAAATCTCAGCCGGGGAGCATCCCACTCATCCCGGCGCTGCCCGAGCCACCTGAGCTCTACCTGCCCGTTTTCCCAAGCGGAGCAGCCCGGGTGGTACCCCACTCCCCCACTCCCACCCGGGGAGTTCCCGGGGGCACGAAGGGAGCCCGAGCGCGGCGGTGGCGGTGCGGAAGGCTGGTGGGGACTTACTGCGCGCTCCCCCCGCGGCCGGGGGGACCCGGGAGCAGAGGTGCCTGCACGGCCGCATTCCCGCAGACGGTTCCCTGCTAACACTTTCCCGATTACTGCTTCCAGGAACGAAAGCATCTGCACTTGTATGCTCTTAAACTAATTTATGGTGGGAATTATATTTTGGCTTGTCAACTCTCAAGCCATAAAACAAAGTTTATTGGAATCACGTGCTTCTAAATAGCCACTCAGGACCTATCTCTGCGGAACCATAAATAACCTTCAGCTTTAAACTTTTATTCGCTAAATAAAGGTTCGCTGAATCTGTCCTGTAAAACCGGAGTGGGTCGGAATAACGTGGATGGGCAGAAGGTCACATTACGCCGGCCTTTTTGAGGAACGCGTTGTAGGGAAAGCTGCTAAGAGGGGAGTTAGCGCTCCCAAATTGCTCTCGAGAAGGGACCCGGGAGCATTTTGCCGTGGGTACCCATCCAAACCCTTCTTTGCATCTCTTAGAGTACAGGGAAGCCCATCGTCAGGGAAAACAAAACAAAACCAAACCAAAACAGAGATACTGAGGGGAAAGGGGGGGGGGGTCTCTCTAGCCTTCCCGGGATGTTTATGGCATTTCGGTCAGGCGCCCCTGGAAAATGGTTTTGGCTGGTTCATCTCCTGAGCTGCTGCTCGGGCGAGCTGTGCCAGGGGCTGCGGGCTCGCCGGGCACCCGACGGACCTTCGGAAGCGACCAAACTGCTGGAAACGGCGAGGGCAGCGGGCTTTGGGAAGGGAGAAAGTGTGAAGCCTGCCACAATGAGATCTTTGAGGACTGGAAGTTTAAGGAGGGCTATAAAACAATAAACCAGCCCTGGTGTGAAGGGAACAGGGTGTGAGTCAGCAAATGAGAATTTCAAGGAGCCCGAGCACAGGAAGTCAAATGTCCCTGGCAGTCACACGGCATAAAGGAACCCGGGCATCAGCTCCCAATCTATCATGGCTAAGATGAGCGAGTGGGAGCGGCCAGCAGCTCCTGGTGCCTCCAAGGAGGGGCT